CAAATCTCATTCTGTCATTGTTCAACCTTTACCACAACATCTAAACAACGCAATAAATGAACCTAATTAGCTCCAGTACAAGGGGAAGCCTGGTATTCACAGCTGCTTTTAAATGGCTAAAATTCAAAAATACTTGTGATTTCCTCTAAAAAGGCTCATAAATGTATTTTCTTAATAGTTTAAACAACAAATATACCTTCATTTTTTCCAGTTATTAAAGCTAGAAACTACTGAAATCTGGGTGTGGTGCTGGATTCAGACCTGGACCCACAGAGCCACATAAAGACGGTTACAAAGTCAGCCTTCTAAACCTATGAGAGGAGAAATAAATCATGATTAAAAATATTAAATTCATAATATGAAAAAATTTGAAATAAAATAATGAAATACATTTTCAGAAAATTCTGAAAAATGAGAATAAACTTTTGAATAAAAGGAAAGTATTTATTAAATTAGGGAATTAAATTAAAAAATATATAATGGTGACAATGTTAAATTAACACTACATAAAATATCCTTTTATGACACACTGTATAATCAAATAATCTCTTTATTAAGTTCTTTTTGGATGCCATATCTAGTACATTAATTACTTTTTCAAGTAATTTATTTATAGATTGGCAGTTTTGGCAGGATTTGTCCTCCATATATCATCCTAAAACCTGGACACTAAACAAAAACAGAGACTTAAACACATTCACAGACATGAAAATATTTCACAAAATGGGTTTTATGATTGGATCCATGTAAAATATGTTTCTGTTTGTACCAACTACGTTTTTAATGTAAATAAATCCAAAGATTTTTTACTCAAAAACTGAGGCAGCAGCAAAATAAGATGCCATAGTAAGTAAATAAGTCATAAAATTGTCAGGATCTGGTCTCTGTGTTAGGATTGGAACAAGAAAAAGAGTTGGGAAGAACGATCTTAATTATTTTCCCTAACGACTCCTTTGGATCAGTTCTTAATTAACAGGTTTTATTACTATAATAAAACCTGTTATTGATGTAGCAGATGTAGCAAAACCTTAGGAAAAATTAGCATCTGCTCTGTTTATGTCACAGAAATCAAAGTCCAATTTAGTCCTTAAAACTAAGGTTAAAACATTAACCTTGAGTTTATTTTAGGTTCATTCAGATTAAAGGATGAATTTATCATAATATTTCTGTTGTTTTACAGTTTGAGCAGAAATAAAATCAGCTGCATTGATTGAACAGCAACTTTTATTCTCATAATTTTTTTATGAGCCCAGATTTGTTTTTTATTGGTCTAGACTTGCTGCCCATTTGGACTTCATTGCTATTTTTGTGTGCAAATGCTAGAAAATAAAATATAAATTAGCATAAGCATATTTGCTGTTATCACCAGATGATGGCTTCAGCTTCTGGGATGAGCTAAAGTCATGTGTGCAGCTCTTACTACGCAGATGCTGAGCTGGGAGCCACGACTCCTGCAGTCTACACAGCAGCATCTGTGTTTGGTTTGCTCTGGACAACTTCGCGCCTGGAGAAAAGCTCAGCCTCCTGGGATGTGTGGCATTTAAGGAACATGGGAACTTTGCCTTTGTTTTCATCCAGTTGGCTGACCAGGCTCACCTAAACTTCGCATTCTCCTCCAACTGCGGCACTTTTAGGTGTGGATTTCCACAAAGCTCAGTTCTGGGCCCACTATAGTTTCCATTTCACATTATTCTGCCCTCTTATCATGTTTCCTATCACATCTATGCTGATGACATCCGACTATCTGTACAGGTTGTCCAATGGTTCTCTTGAATTTTTAGCTGTTTACATTACAAATATTCGCAAAACTTAGTCAATTTTCCACTAATGTCAAAAATATAATAATACAATTTTGTAATTGAGGTGTTTCCATTTAAATAAGAAACAATTAAAATTACATGTGAATAAGTTTGTTCATTTAATAAGTTATTTAAAAACTTTCAATGTCTAGAGGGAATCCAGACCTTTTCTGTTGACCTTTTCTGTTTCAGTGGCGGAACTTTAAACTGCAGCTGCGTCAGTGGGCCGTTGCTAGGTAACCACAGAATGAATGAGTTGCTAGGTAACCACAGCCAGAAAGAGTCAGTTGATTCCACCAACCTAGCTTAGCTTAGCTAGCCTTGAGGCCTTGTTACTGATTTATTTTCAAGCTCTACTAAAGGATGAAAAAATACCCAGATTGTTCAGATAGCTCAGGAAAAAAAATAAGACTTTTATGAGAATTCAAACACAAATTGATGAGTTTTTACTGAGATTATCATTTGTGGAAACAGCAGTACCTTGATGAAAGCGGTGGCCGCGGTTGTCCTACAGCATCTGGGTGTGAGAACAGAGGCTTGTGGTGATCGATGCTCCTTCAGAGGCCTGGGGGCTTCTGGGACTGCAGCGGTGACCTCTGCAGAGGTCGCGGATGAGCAGCTCTGCCTTAAATGACTGAAGATCACTCGCCACGCCTCCTCTGACTTTCACAGTGGAGCTGAACTGTACCTGCCTGGTTGAGGTGGCAGGACAAGACGAGCATCAAAGGGATATTCCCTCTCCGTCATGTACAGGATAAAAAGGGAAAACCCAAAAACTGACCAATCAGAGCAGAGTATCTGACCCTGTGACGCTGATCTGTAACCTCTAAATGAACAAACAGCGTTAAAGATAAGATGGCGTATTGTAGCCATTGTAGACAGAAAACAGGAGGAGTAAATGTCTGCCAAAGCAAACTCAGATTTTTATGGATTAATCTCACATTTTCTAGAGAAAGGTGAAAATTTATGAGTTTGGAAAGTCAAACATTTGCTAGAGTTCAGAGTTTGACCCTTTTGCCTTTTGGAAGTCTGAATTTCCACGTCGTTTTGGAAATTTTTAACAATTTTGTAGCTGTGTGTCCTACCTCTGTCCCTTCCTTCTGTCCTCATTGTGTCCCAACTTCATCTGTTCTGAATCTTTCCTTCAGTTCTTTTGTCCTACTTCATTTCCTTCCTTCCTTTTGTTCTCTCCTTCACTGTGTCCTAGCTTCATCTGATCCTTGTCTCCTTTGTTCATTCCTCCATTTGCATCCTTCCTTCCTTCCCTCTGTTCTCACCCTTAGTGTCCTAATTCTCTTCCTTCCCTCATCCCTCCCTTTGTATCCTTACTCCCTCCTTGTGTCTTTCTTTCTTTGTGTCCTACCTGTTACTTCTTTCATTTCTTTCTTCCTCTTTGTGTCCTTCCTTCCTTCCCTCTGTTCTCACCTATTGTGTCCTAATTCTCTCCGTTTATTGTCTTTCCTTCCTTATTCCCTCCCTTCATTTTGTCCTTCTTTCATTCCTTTCCTCTGTTCTCTCCCTTTGTTGTGTCCTTCTTTCCTTGATTGCTTCCTTCCTTGCATCCTAATTCTCTCCCTTCCTTCCTTTATTCCTTCCTTTGTTACCTCTGTTCTCACCCTTGTAGCTCTCTCCCTTCTCCCTTCCCTCCTCCCTCTCTTTGTATCTGATTGTATTTTTCCTCCTCCAGCAGCTGTTTCCTCATCACATCCACTCATCTCTCCCTCTGACATCATCATCCCTCCATCCTCCTCCCTCTCTCATTGACAGAAACTCTCTGATGTTTCTCCTCCTCCTCCCTGCAGGTGTTCCCTCCCCGTCCCGTTTCATTCACAGCGCAGTGCCGAGGATGACTCATCCTACGGTGAGGAAGACGTGAGCCGCTCTCAGTCCTTCCTCTGCTCCGTCTTCCAGGCAGCGATCCGTGGCTCGGTTCCGTCGGGCCCGGCGCTGACGGACAGCAGGGCTGAGCGGCTGCGACAAAAAGCAGTGCATGTTCCGTCTGCGGCCGACAGCAGGAAAACAAAAACGCTGACGGGGGAATCTGGCAGCATCCAGAGATCCACCACAGCCTTTTACTCCTCTGTATGGACGGGACGTTTAGGTGGGACTGGAGGAGGAAACATTTCCATAAAATGTCAGAAATTTTGAGATTCATCTCAGAAATTTTCAAGAAAAACCAAGAAAATTCTTTAAGCTCGAAAAGTCATAAATTTCCAAAGAAAATTAGCATTTTGGGATCAATTTCACATATTTTCAAGAAAAAACGTCTGAGCTCCAAAAGTTTTTAGATTTTTTTAGCTCAGGAAATTTCCAAGTGTTTTCCCTGAAAATATGTGAAATTAATCTAAAAAATTCTCAGTTTTCTCTTGCATATTTATCACTTTTTCTTGAAATTAGAATTTTAAAGAAAAAAGCAAGAAATTTAAAAAAGTTCTTATTTTCACGATAAATATTTTCAAGAAAAACTTTTCTAAAGTTTTCCAACCTTGAAACAGTCTAAATTTCTATAAAAACTATGCAATTTTGAGAATAATTTCACATATTTTCAAAAAACCAAAAACAAAGATATTTTCTGAAGTTGAAAAGCTGTAAATTTATGTGAAAAAAATAAACAATTTTTAGATTAATTTTACGTATTTCAAAGAAAAAACTTGAAAATTATCTGAACTCCAAAAGTTGGAAATATGCAACAAAAAAAAAGAAAAGAAAAAAAAAATTCAGAAATTTTTACATTGATTTCAGAAATTTAAGTCAAAATGTTTAAACTTTTCAAACCCAGAAAATTTACGAAATTGTAAAAAGTCAACTTATATTTTAAATGTGCTCTAATTCGAGATGTGTTTGTTTTCTACACAGGGCATAAGATTGATGTTTTTTTTTGCTAACAGTTAAAACACATTTAGGAAACGCATCTCCCTTGCATAATGCTGCCATTACCATGTCCTAAGTGTTAGTTTTCTGTAACACTCAGTATTTTGAATTTGGTGTGAAACCAAAAAGACTGTTGATAAACCTCTGGAACCCTCTAAAATCGCAATATTAATAGTGATAATATTTATTTAGGGGGAACAAAGTGTAGGGAAATGGATACAAAAGCAACACTGTGCAACTTTTGAGAAAATTTCTGCCCTACTTTGCAGATTTCTGCAATCAGCTCATCTCTCCTCCCTCCCATCTTGTTGCTCCAACACAGGTGGGGAAAAAAGCTGCTCATAAAAATGGATTACCTGCCTTTTTAAATCTTATCTGAAATGCATTTCCTCGAGCCCAGATATCAGCTCTGCAGTAGAGACTCATAATGAACAGACGGAGCCTGTATACCGATTAAATTCAGAATATATCTGCACAGACATAAATGGTACATGTGAAGACGGGGAAAACGAGGAAATTCTTCTACAATATTTTCCTTCTCAATTTTATTTTATTACCTGTCAAATAAATTCAGATAAAACAGATTATTCGATCCTTCCGTAAAAGCGGAACAAAATAAAAAAGATCAATAATGACGACTGTACTAAAAGCTAGTTGCTGTTTTGTTTTTTTTTATCTTGCAGAGTGATTGATTGTGTTTGTGTGTGAAATACCGAGGCGCAAAGCTCCTCGAGTCGCCATTGGTTGCTGTTTGCACACCAGCCAATCCAGAAGAGGCATTTATTTTCCTTGGCGCTGATTGGGTGAACCTCGTCCTCCAAAACGCGGAAATAAAGAAGACGGTAGCCGTTAGCTTCTGCGGTTACGGTTTCTACAAACACACTACGGTATATTTCGTGTTTGAACGATTAAAATAGGTAGTCAGGAACGTTTTTGAGGAAGTCTCCATTTCTCTTTTGTGGATTTCAGATGTTCGTGGACGGCTGTAGCCCCGAACACCATTAATACTAACGGTCCACTGTAGCTGTTTCCGGTATGTTTTCATCGCTCTCTCTTATTTTTTTATATTATTTTAGTTTGTTCACGGCCCAGTTTTAGTTAAGCTTCCGCATTTCAGGCTGTACTTTATATTTTTACCATGCTGTCAAGTAAAACGTCTGTTTTTAATTTAAAAAAAAATATATTCCGGAGGAAGTTAGTTATGCAGAACGACAGAGCGGCAGGGAGGAGGAGAGGAATAAATGGGGAGGGAAGGGGGAGATTTTTGAAATAATTTCACAGCGCAAACAAACAGCGATTATCAGCTGTTCCATTAAACTAAGTGCAGGAATAAATTCGTGTTCTCTGCTGGAGGATCGCTCATTTTCCCGCTCTCCCACAGCCGGAGCGCCGCCTCGCAGAGAGGGAGGAAGGAGGATAATCACGGAGTGAAGTGGATGTCGGCAGGTTAGCGTGGAGGAAGAGAAGACGACTTGAAAAGTCTGTGGTGGGAAAAATGCATAAACAAAGGAGGCATCCGCCATCTTTAATGAGGCGTTGAAAGTATGGGTGGAAAACGATGAAATGGAAACATTTTAATTAGACAACATCTGGAGTTTTAAGAGACACTCGAGTGTACGAGCAATTCCCCATCCAGATGGATTCTCATAAGGAATATTAATTTATTAATTTTCTTTACCTGCATGAGCCTCGCATCCCAGAAAAATGGAGACAGAAAATGGAGGTTTTGTTCCTCTGGTAAGGCAAAGGCCCTGCCAGTGGTTGGGAAAGTATTTAGATGTGTACTTAACAAACAAAACGTTAATGGAAACAAGAGACGCACAAACCTGAACACAGTCATACCTGACGGCAATTTAGAGACTAGTAAGCTGCAAGGCAACATTAGTTATGTTTCCATTAACTAAAGAATTGCACAAATTGGAATTACAAAAATAAATTTGCTTCTTTGTCGTTTCCGCCAGTAGCAACATTCGGTTGTTGATCATGCGACTCGTGATGCGAAAAAAGTGTTTCCATTGCAGGTTTGAGAAATAAACCAATTAAGATATAGTCCTGGTGCAAAAACATCAAAAATGAGGTTTTTTCAAAATTGGCATGTTTCAGTTCAGCAAATTTATTGTCATAATTATGTGGTCAATGGAAACACAGATTGTGAATCAGATTTACTTTCCAAAAGCGATTGGTTGAATTAGTTTTATTTCTGAGCGTCAGATTTAATGGGGCTACACATAAATTATGTGCTGCTTTGTGTCGACCCAAAATACTGCTTTTATTTCAACTTTTTTTTTTGTATGAAATACCAATAAATACATTAGGGATGTTAAATATTGTCGGCGCCAACATCGGTATTGGCTGTATTAGTAATTTTTTTTAACATATAGTATTAGTCCGATAAATAAAACTTTCATGTTGTTTCTATCCGTTTCTGGTCATTTTTTTTCACTCAAGTTTGTCAAAATGTAGTGATGTATACAGTAAATATTAGTTATCGGCCTTGAAGGCAATATTAATATCGGCTATCAGCCCACATTTTGGTATCGGTGCATCGCTAAAACACATTGAAAACTGTGATTTTAATAAGACGTGTTGCAAACAATGTGAACAAGCACACAGGTGGTTTTTCTTAAAGAGACGGTAAACGTTTTCTGCCCCCTTCCAGCTCGGCCTGTCAGATGATGAAGTGGCAGAAACATCTTTATGTTCTGTTATAGTCTAGTTTGCTCAAGTAATTTCACTTCAAAGATAGCGAGGCCTTGACCAATTTCCCCGCTCGTCTCAGATTCCCCTTCTTGACGAAAGTAATTACATGCAGATTTAATTAATGTGGGAACAGGAAGAGAGGAGCGGGCGGCTCTTTGAACTGCCTGTTCAGAAGAAGAGAAAGAGCGAGAGATTAGTGATGAAGTCCCGTACTTTAGATAGTGGATGTAAACCTGAGCTGGGGTTAATAATCTGTAACGTGACAGTCGCCTCTGTCTGAGTTTAACGTTTCCTCCTCTTCATCCTTCAACACGGGGCGTTAAAAACCGTCCTTCATCCTGCAGACAGCGGGAGGGGAAGACGAAATAAAAACTCAGACAGAGTAAAAGACAAGGCAGGAGGGAGAGCTGCATCAGCAGCAGCCACTGCCTCTGGAGGGAAACCAGAACGTCGGGATAATTCAGGAGACGAGGAGCGAATGGGAGACGGAGGGGAACTGGAGGGGAACCGGAGTGGAGGGGAATCAAAGAGGAACAAACATTGAAACCAAACAAAAAACATGTTCCTGAGACAACTTCCCTAGGAAGAGACTCATTTTAGCAATTTTACCACCAATTTTACTGATTGTTTCAATAGAAATATGACTGTGTGTGACAGGGGTCACATATAAATGAATAAATATACATTTAAATAGAATATAAATCATATTGTATAAATATATTATTTTTAGAATATATATATATATATATTTGTAAGACATTTCTGATTTAAATAAAATATTTAAATCAGAATTAAATATTTTATTCTGATTTAAATATTCAGAATTTAGTATAACTATTTATAAATGTTTATTTTTCCTTAACATCTCAGTTGTTTCTGTGTATTTCTGCTATTATATTTGCTGTTTTATATTTATGGAGATAAACTTTTATAAACTTTTTTATATTTATGGAGATAAACTTATTTTTATTATTTTTATTTGACTTGCCTTCGAGATTTGGAGCTTGTATTTCTTTTTTATAAATCGATTATTTCTTTAAAAAAGTAATTATTTCAATAAATATTTGAATATTTGGGGCAATAAGTATTTATTTAAATAAGCAGTTCATCTATTTAAAAACAAATACTTGTTCCTGGCAGATTATTTCACTTATATCCAGGCATTTTCTCATGTTTTAAGTGAAATAAACGCCAGTGGAACCAGTAAAGGGAGTGAAAAACGCTGAAGGTTTTAATTCAGAGCTACAAAAAGCTCCGGCTATAAAATCAATGGGAACAGAAACGATTTTGGCAGCTCTGCTGCTCCTTATATTCCAATCTTTGGAGGTCCGTTTAAAAAACTTCCTCTGGAAAAGACGGATTGGTTTTAGCTCTGCATGCACGACTGGCGAAAATGCGATCCAGCTTTTTTAAAATTTATTTATTTAATTGCAACAAATCAAAGCTGGAGCAAAAGGTTTGCCACCATGTTGGCTGAAGTGGAGGCTGAGGAGGCCAAAGCCCAGAAAGAGAGCTGACCTTTGACAAAACCTGCAGGAACAGATGATTTATCCAACCCAGTTTAAATTACGCAGCATCTTACGGATGATATATTTGAATTTGTTTTAAAAATAATAATTCTTCTCACCAAGACAAGTTTTTACTGTTTTAAAGCAGGAAAAATATGCAACAGTTGATGCGAACCTCAGATTGGTGATGCTTAACTTCACGATTCGCCCTGATTCGGGTCTTACAGAAACGGCTCGGTACGTTCAAGGTGATGAGACTCACTGAGGACTCAGCATCCAAGCAGCAGAGAGGCGCACGCTGGGCCCCCCGTCCTGCTTAGTCCTCCTATCTCGCTCCCTGCAGGCGGCGACACGCGATGCAGCGATGGAGATTAATGCTCACCGAACGCAAACAAACAAAGTTAACAGTGGAGACGATGCTGGGACGGACAGAGAGGGAAGCAGCCAAGATGGCCGCCGCAGAAAGACAGGAAAAACAAGTTTTTTAAAAAAATAAAGCATGTTTCTGCAATATGACGGAATATTAGGGACAAACTAAGAAAATAAAAACCATGAAATTATGAGAATAAAGTCATAGTGTGAGAATTATATTATGAGACGTTTAAACAATATATTTAGACTGTTCTATCAATTCAACCTTATTCTTGCAATAATTCAACCATATTCTCGTATTATTTCAACTTTATTAATATTTCCACTTTATTGGATTATTTTGACTTTATTCTTGTATTAGTACAATTTTATACTTTGACTTTATTTCAACTTTATTCTTGTGATATGATTTTTTTCTAAGATTATTTCCATTTTATTCTCATTATTTCAACTGCCAGTACTCTGACTTTATTCTCATATTATTTTGAATATTTTCATAAAGTTATGACTATATTCTCATTACTTCAGGTCTTTTTCTTGTTTTATTTTGACTTTATCCTCATAATTTTATTTATTTTATGCCCCCTATCCTCTGTCGGTCTTCGGAGTAATCAGCAGTCGGTATCTTACCTGTTGTTAAGCTTCAGTTTGGAGCGTTATGAAGGAATTTCTTCTCCTCGGAGTCAAACTCAGATTGAACACAAACCTTCCAGAACCTCTCATGTCTTTTGGTTCTGGTTCTACATCCAGAACCAAAGGCTGGAGCAGCAGCATGCAGCTTCTATGCACCACAAACCTGGAACAAACATCCAGAGTTCCTTTAAATCCAGACTAAAAACCCACCTGGTTAGAGTTGCTTTTGATTAATAATGACCGGAACATGGATTAAATCTAATCTGGATTTCAATGTATTGCTTTATCATATAGGGAATTTTGAAATCTGCTACACAAATAAACCTGACTTCTATTCAGTCCTTAGAAAGGAATAAAACAGTCTGTTACACCAAAAACAATTAGAAAGTTTAAAAATGTTTTTTATTGTCAACAGGTCACGTATTTTATGAGGACATGATAATCATTTTATCATGTCCTCTGAAATTACATCGTCTGTGGTTGATAATTTGAAACAAACTACAGCAAAAACATATTTTATTGTATATAAAGTGTATATATTATAGCATAATATAAGAATGTTAGTGAACACATTCTTGATCAATAAAATTGATTTAGATTCACATCTCCAAACTTTAGCTCAAGAAAATAATCCTAGCTTTAACCGAACTTTATTTCACGTCAAACCTTAAAACTGTGTTAGCTTAAGGGTGTGTTTACTTTTCATCCTGGGTTTTTGCTTTTTATTTTCTCTATATTTGACCCACTAACAGACAGAGAAAGTTTTTACCTCCGTTTAATTTCGCTGGAGACGATCAGATCCAGGATCAGTTCCCTTTGCAGCGGCGGCTCTGCCAGCTGCGGTCCTGTGGCGCCCTCTGTTGGCTCATTCGCGGAGCTGCAGTGACAGTCTGACCACACAGCTTTAAATATAGTGATTTATTTCATGCTGAAGCTCACACATCAATCAATATAAACCCCCGGGAAACAAAGAGCAGTAACAAAGATAGCAAAAGAATCATCAGTCAACAGTTTTTACAAAAAACAGCAGGAAGAACCCAGGTTAAGAACAGATATGGAGCTGGGCTTCCACACAGCAGAGCGACTTGTTCTCAAAAAAACAGAGAAATGACGGATACATTCAGTTCATTCAGTTTGCTACGAATCCAGATTCATCAAAGGTCTTTAGGAACACATTTATGGAGTGAGTTTCATGATAATCCTGACTCTGCAACATTAGGGGCATTGGAGGTAGAAAAAAGGAGGAGGAAGTTTACATTTCTACCAAAGACACTCATTTTCTAGAAAAACATAAACAAGGACATCTGAATTTCAAAGGTCGAAAAATCTATTGGAAATCTCACATTTTGAGGTTAATTTGAGAATTTCTAGAAAAAAAATGGGACATTTCTGAATTAAAAGTAATATCTGTTAGAAAAAAACACTGAAATTTTGAGATTCATTTCACATGTTTTCAAGAAAAAAACTTGGGAAATTTTTTGACGTGAAACTCAGAAATTTTCATGATTTTTTTTAAAAGTTTTTTCTAAAAAATTTCTCAGATTAATTTGGAAATTATTTTTTTTCCTACTGTATTTTTGACTTTTCAAGGTCAAACTTCTGGTTTGATTTTTTAGATTAACCTAAATATTTCTGAATTTTTTTCTAGCAGATTTTCAACTTTTCAAATTCAATCAAGATTTTTAAGTTCTTTCTAGAAATTGTTTAAACCTCATATTTCCATGTTTTTCTTGAAAAAAAAGTGAAATTAATCTCAAAATGTAAGTTTTTTTCTTTTAAATATTTGACTTTTAAACTCAATTTTCCATTTTTTTTCTAGAGATTGTTCTCAACATTTC